TGGGTCAGCGAAGGGGCTAAGCATCTCCAGCTTCACCGATCGAAGTGCAGTGCGTTGATCAGGAACGTTCTCTCTCCTTAATTCGTTGACGAGTGCCTTTCCGACCTAGGATCTGGAAGTTACAGCTTGGTTCTAGATGAATCAAAAGACATCTATCGCACCCTGAACAACGGACAAGATTCGCTTAAGATAGTACAGTCCTGCTCAACAAGGTGACTGTCCTCCTTGTTGCGCACAAAAAGAACAAAAAATTGCAGCAATTAAATAAAAATGGGACAAACTCAGTCTTGCTCGCTGGAACAACCGTGAAACAACTGTTGCCTTCTAGGACAAGGTCAAGAAGTACAGGGATGCCTCCAACACCAACCCCTTCCTTGATCTATCTTGCTGATTTTGCTTTAGCAACACTTTTACTGCCCAGGTCGAATGCAGAGGTTGAGGACGTGTTCAGCCAGATGAACATAGTCAAGTCCAAGCAGAGGAACAGGATGTCTACAGAGAATACCAATTTCATTATGACAATGAGGGACAAACTATGGAACAAACTCAGTCATGTTCGCTGGAACAACCGTGAAACAACTGTTGCCTTTTGGGAGGAGGTCAAGAAATACAAGGATGCCTCCAAAGCAAACCCCTTCCTTGATCTTGCTGATTTTGATTTAGCAACACTTACTGCCTAGGTTGAATGCAGAGGTTGAGAATGTGTTCAGCCAGATGAACATAGTCAAGTCCAAGCAGAGGAACAGGATGTCTACAGAGATGACCAATTGCATTTTGACAATGAGGGCTGGCCTCCGAAGGGAGAACAAACGCCGTTCTAGCTACGAATTCCCATCGGATCTTCTAAGAAAGATCAGCACCATGGAGGTTAACCTCGGCAAACCCGGCGGCGACACACCAGGAACCATTGGCACCAGCAAAAAACATCAAGATGCCGATGAAGCAGACATCTTTCTGTGAACAAAGGGGCGTGGCAAGACAGATTTCTAGTCAGAAAGAAAAAGAAAGCCTTTTAAATTTTTAATATATATATACATATATATATATACCGTAATTATACTGCTGGGCAAGAATTAAAGCAATAAAATGTGTTCAAAAGTAATTTTCGCACAATGTCTTCAATTTAGTGGTTTTTAACGGTTTTCGGTGTCCCGACTGCGGGTTTTCAATCCCCGAGTTGGCAACACTGACCGTCAGACGAGAGCCCGACTTTGTTCTCATTTCTGTAATCGAGAGCAGAAATAGTCCTACTCAAGACGAGCATTTGGCCAATCGTGAAAGGCCGGTCATAGCGATGCCGATGGTGCTAGAGAGCATTTACATACCTTGACGCTTGGGGACGGAACCTCGGGAGACAGCGTAGTTTCGGGATCCGTCAGGCGCGGTCGCTTCAGCCGTTCGGGTGCAGGGCTGCAAAAAAAAAATTTTTATTTGAAGCGTGGTACTGTTCTCGCTTTACGCTCAAACATACCGAGGAACCAAGTCTGCAGACGGCTATATTTTACGTTCCAACCGACCGATTCTGGAGAGCGCTTAAAGATCGGCCTCGAGGCGGCGCGATGAGTCGGCAAAGGGTAATTATGATCGTTGTCACTAGGTGGCACCGGCTTCATCGTCAATGCGTTACAATCCCGCCAAGTGGGAACACCTGAGGTACAGCGTACTCGAACTGAGAGGTGTGCCGAGTGCCACTCGTTCCCGCGCGCCTCCATCGGACACGACACGCCGTGACACTGCTCCCGAAGAGCCCGTGGCACGAGGCATTCCAACGAAGCTCAGCCCCCCAACTACCTGCCAGGTGGTAGTGGGGAGTCGCTTTGTTCATTTAAAAATTGCTTTTCTCGCATTTACGGACGAAAGACTGGTGTTTGCGAGCTGCTGTCATAAAGGAGACCACGTCTACATAAAGAAATGCAAGATGCATGCAATGCAATGCAAGAAAAAAAAAGCGGCACTAAAAGGGTTAATAGAAGGCAACCATAAAAGTCAGTTTCCCAAAATTGTTTCAGACAATGCGTAGCCTGCCACCCGCCTACCATTAGGACAAATGCGTCTGGTCCCCGAGCCAAACACACTTTCAAAATCATGCCACAAATATACATCGCACCGTTTTTATTTTTAGAAATGTGGCACATTAAAAAACACAACCCCATGTTGCTAAAAAGATATAGAGCATTACACATGGTTTTTGTGTAAGGGTCAAATATATTTGGCACTGGAAAAAAAAAAATCGGCAACTAGCGTTAGGTCCTTATTTCAAACTCTTTGTAGAAGACCCGCCCACTGAAAAGCGCCACACCACTGTCTCCTTCCAAACAGAAAAGTCCGTCTGCTGTGTTCCCTGTCCCCATCGCAGCCTAGTGTCTACCGAATGGATGCACACAAGAACGCTGAGTTTGAGAGGTGTTAGGGGAGATGTACCTTTCTTGCAGGGAATGATCGAGCAGCATGTGATCGTGGTGCCTCTTTTCCTTCAGGATCCGTATCCGCTTCTCAGCATCCTGAAGCAACTTCTTTGTTTCCCCCACTTCGGCCTCCAGCGCCTTGAGCTGCACCGCCTGTCGCTTTGCCCGGGCAGTCCAGTGGCCCGCCTCCTTTATCAGACATGTCACCTCGTTCGCCATATTGGATCGCGAGTCCTTTGTCGACTGCAGTTCCCTGAAAAAAAACCGATCGAGGTAAGTATGTTAACCATACGGCAGCTCTCGTTCATCCAGAAGCATCCGTCACTAAGGGGTACTCCGGCAACACTGAAAGGAAAATAAAAAGAGGTAAAAAAAGGGGACGGTCTATACAGGTTCAGTTACTGCACATTCTACCGACACAGTTTACATACTGGTGACATTGCGCTGATTTAAGGAGCATTCGTTTATAAATTTATAAAATCAGGTCTGCTTCCTCAAGAGCTTTAAACACTGCTCAAGAACCCACTTGCGGAAGAGCGAAATCCTTGTGCACACTGGATGGATGAATGGGTAAGGCTGAACTTTTTGATTAAAATCAGGCGGTGGCCTGCGCTATCCAGCCAAATCTACAGTCAGTAGTTGGCATCCTCCAAGGATGTCAACTTTTATCACATTTTTAGTAGGGAAACAGATGTAGCACAAGCACAATTTTAGGATTTCTAGGACGCTTGGAGCCCGTAAGATAAGTTATCACCAAGAACAGACAATCTCAGAAACGTCTTTGGTGCACCTTTTAATATTCCTTTCAAAGCATAATTTTCGGCTTGTAAACTACTGTCTTTTTTTTTTTCATTGTTACAGGCTTTATATTTTTTTAACAATATCACGCGAGCGCTGACAGGCCGTAGATCAGCGCCTTATCGCGGAGTGAAACAGGGGAGCCGGACGGTATTGATGTCGCTGGCCTGTAATAAGGCGGAGCCTCCGGGGCAACAACGGGGGCGCGCGTTAACCCATCCGTCGCGCTGCGCTTTACGCCGCTTCGCGGCGACAGTCTGAGGCGGCTCATTACAAAAAATGTAAACCCACATGTGTGTGTGTATTGGCCCACACGTAAACGCCGCTTTGCGGCGCCCAATTATTCGCTAAAGTATCATTCGGTGAACCGCCCCCTCAGGAGGCTCCGCCTTATTACAGGCCAGCGACATCAACACCGAGCCGGACTATGCGCGTGTGGCAGAAGGCACACACCTAGCCTCGCTGACTTGTTGTTTCACGCCGCGATAAGGCACTGATACGGCGGGTGTTCTTCGGAGTTTTTTTTAGGATTTATCTGAAAGCACGGAACCCAAACTATTTGGTACCGTAGTCAACACGTGTGACAGAGGCAAGCCAGCCTGCCATGCCGCGCAGTTTGTGAGCTATCCATAGTGAGCAAAAAGAGAAGCCCGGGCTGCCCGGGCCCAAGAGACAGCGGGTCGGGCTGGCTCGGGTTCATTGACCCGTGCAGGCCTCCGGTTGCCTCCACCTTCAATCCCGCAAGACACTGCGCCCAGTATGTCCCGGTAGCGTTTCTCCAACTCTGGCCCGGGGTTCTTAAAGGTTACATAAACAATTACTGTGAAAGAACTCACTTCTCGCACTCCTCGAGCCGGGCCCTCAGCACGATGTTCTCGTCCGACAACTGCCTCTTTTCGGCGACCTCTTTCTTCATGGACCGCAGTTTGCTCTCCAGCAAGTTTCGGTCCCCAATCGCCGTCATGTACTTTTCCTTAATCTCCTGGACTTCGTCTTCGCGCTGAATGAGGAACGCCTTCAAAGCGTCAGCGGCTTCCTGCTGCTTGATTTTCTCCACGCCGGCGGCCCGCAGCTTGGCTTTGGCATCGTCCAGTTGGTTCTGGAGACTGCTCACGTCCTCGTCCCTGGACTCGGAAGCGGAAAAGAAGAGCTTGAAGATCTGCCGCTGTTGGAGAGGCTTGCGGCACGTAGGGCAGGTCTTGGACATCTCGTGCCAGTGCAGGAGGCAGAGTTCGTGAAAAACGTGGCCGCAGGCCGTGCTGTTCACGTTGTCGGTGCTGGTGCGGTCGAAACAGTCCATGCAGATGCTGCATGTAACACGCATGGTTGTGGAGGCTAGCGCAAGTTGAAACGAAGCTACACTTTTCGGACAGGTTCTAAATAACCTACTGGGCGTATGTCAGCGCATGTGCCACTGCAGCAACTGTCCTTAACCTTAGTGCCTTCCTTCCGCCCAGCGCTGCCGCGCTGCCTGCTGGCTTTTTGAAAAAAACGCCGCCTTTGTTCAATGTTGCTGACCCAAGCGGCGAGCCCGCTAAGTTTAGACAAACGCTAAATACGTTTTCGAACATAAAACATTTATTGTCAACGTAAGTTAAACATTTTTAGAGATATTTATCACAGTTATTTTTTTAACTGAGGCGACTAGGTAATGAATAAATTAATTTAAGAAGTCACATGTGAAGTACAAATCAAAATCCAAAACGCAGTTCTGTTTTCGTTTGATCGATGAAACGACGCTGCATCAGAGGAAAAGGCACCGCAAAGAACAGGCCACTGTGTGAGCACTGTGAGTGTGTATATTTTGCAACCCCGCGCGCGTGACGAGGTAAGTGATTCGACTAATACTGCAGAGTGCGCATTCTTAAAACCTGATTTTGTGATCATTGGGCAGCTGTGGTACTACACTGCGCGACACCGTTAGCGCGAACAAACGATCGACAGTTTGCTGTCGATCGTTCGTGCTGTCGGGCTGTCATAAAAACCGTCAGAGTGGAAAGTGCATATTTGGGACACTAAGCTAAAGCGGTAAAATGTGATGCCTTTTGAAGTAAAATACGAAAACGTGCCGACGATCGTATGTAGTACCTACACTGCCGCTCAGCGATCGTCCTCAAAGCCGAAGAGCCCGTCTGTGAGCCCGTCTTTCTTGGAGTCATAGAATCAGCTGAGGAACACGCATGGAGGATTGTACTGACAGTCCAGACAACTCCAGTATCTTTCAAGATAGACATGGGGCAGACATCACTGCGATTCCAGAATCTACAAAAAGTACCTCAGTGCATTGCCTCTGGTTGAGGCCAAAAGAGTAGTAAAGGGGCTCAGCCGAACAAAGTTGAACGCATGTAGTGAGAGCAAATATTCGCCATACCCCCCCTCCGTGGAGTTGCGGGACTTGTACAGAGACTGCATGAGCGCGGTAGTCGACACGAAACCCGGGACAGTCGATCCAAAGGGCGGGTTTCCAAAACTTTTTCAAGGCCTTGGCTGCGTGAAACAATTACCTTACAAGATTAAGTTACGTAAGGATGCAGTTCCCTGGGCATTGTCTGAGCACTCCATGAAGGATCCCAATTTCCTTAATGGAAAAGATCAAGGAATAGACAGTATGTTCACCCTGGGCGTAATCGAAATTGTGGACGAGCCCACAGACTGGTGATCAGCAATATGGTACAGTCATGACAAAGTCGAAGGGAAGCTGCAGAATTTGCGTTGACTCCACGGAGCTGAACAAGTATGTGGAACGACACATCCGCTTCCGGTCACAGACCAGCACGTACTGAAACAACTTGGGAATGCGAAGTTCTCAAGAATCGATGCAAATTCTGGGTTCTGGCAGTTTGAGCTTGCTCAACAGCCCCAGATTCTGAGGCTTTCATCACACCATTTGGATGCTTTAAAATTAGCTGGCTTCCCTTCAGTATTACATCTGCTCCAGAGTTCTTCCAGAGGAAGATGAGCCAGCTTCTGAGCGGAATCAAAGGACAAGTCTGCAACATGGACGACATCCTTGTCTACGGATCCACGAGAGCAGAACACGACAGAAACCTGCAAGACGTCCTCTCTCGACTCAGGCTGGCAGGAATTACCCTGAACGAAGCTAAATGTCGGTTCGCAGAAACTCATAATAAAGCTTCTTGGACATGCCATCGATCAAGAAGGAGTTCGTCCAGATCAAGAGAAGGTAGAAGCCATTTTGAAGATGAAAGCTCCCACTTGTACGTATCACAAAGCTGAACAGCTTTCTTGGAATGGTTAACTACCTTAGGAAATTTTTTCGCAGTTTGGCCCAAGAGTTGCACTTGGTGATCGCATTACTGCCAAAAATTAATGGGCCTGGAACCACAAACAACGGAGGGCTTTTGAAAAGCTAAAGTTGATTTTGACATCAGACCCGCTACTTGTTCTGTTTGACACAAGAAAATCAACCATGTTGTCAACAGACGCTTCTTCTTTTGGCATTGGCACAGTATTGCATTTAAAGCAAAAGAACGGGATCTACAGACCAGTGTCGTACGCGTCGAGAACACAGAGCGAAACAGAAAGACGATACGTCCAGATCGAAAAGGAAGGACTGGGTGGTCTGCAGGTGCGAAAAGTTTTGAGACTTTTATAAACAGGGACGAAAATCCAGACCGAGATGGACCACAAACCGCTGGTTCGTATATTTTCGTCCAGGAGCTTGGAAGACATCACGCCAAGACTACAGCAAATGAAACTCCGGATGATAAGGTTTTCTTATGACATCACACACGTTCTCGGAAAAGAGTGGCGGCTGACTTCCTTTCCAGAAATCCCCTGGAACATACACCGGACAAGGAGGTGGAGGACGAGATATCAGCATATGTGCGAGGTCTCATGGCAAATCTTCCAGCAACGGACGAAAAGTTGAAAGAAATGCAAGCTAACCAGAAAATTGACGCAACATGTCAGTTTCTAACGCACTTCAGTACAGAGGGTTGGCCAGTCAAGAAAACGTTTAACTAGGAGTGCAGCCCCCAGCTGAAAATTCCCATTAAATCCAATTGGAATTCCAACTGGTTTTAACTGGAACCAATTGGTTTTAGTGGGTTCCAGCTGGAACCGCACTGGCCAATGGGTCTCACCAATTGGAATTATTTTTTCAGTTGGAACCTGAATGGGTTCCCAATGGTTCCCATTGGTTCCCGTTGGTTCCCATTGGCAGTGACCAATTGGTTGTCCAAAAACCCAATTGGTACCAATAAGTTACCAATTGGTACCAATAAGAAAATTCCAATTGGAACTTAATAGGAATTTTCAACTGGGAGTGCCTATTGGCAGCACAGAAGTGACATTGCAGTGGAAGACGGCCTTCTAATGAGAGGGTCGAGGATAATCATTCCCTAAGGCAATGAGAAAGTCAAATTTGGGGGTTTTACGTGCCAAACCTACGACGGGCATCTAGCACGCCCCAGCGGAGGACTGAGGATTAGTTTCGACCACCTGGGGATCTTTTGACGTGCAACCGAAAGCTCGGTTACACGGCGCCTTCTCCGCAATAAGCCTCCGTCATATTGCGGGCACCTCGGTCGGGACTCGAACCCGCCACCTGGAGATCCGTAGGCCGGCGCTCTCGCCTCGGAGCCACCGAGGCGGCTCTAAGGCAATGAGAGACAAAGTCTTGAACAGCATTCACCAGAATCGCCAAGGCATCTTTTAATTGCAGAGCACGCGCCCATGAATCTGTGGAGTGGCCAGACTTATCTAAGCAGATAGAAGAACTGGTAAAAGGGTGTACACAGTGCATTCAGGAAACAATCAACCGCCAAGGGCCTTTGATACCAACTCTGTTTCCTGAACGGCCTTGGCAGCAAGCAAGCGTAGACCCTTTCTACTTGAAATACAAGTGGTTTGCTAGTGACGGGATATTACTCCTGATACCCCGAAGTTGCCCTCTTGGCCAGCTTGTCAGCTGTTTCTGTCGTCGACCACATGAAATTTATCTTCGCAAGAGATGTGACGCCAGAGACCATATACAGCGACAAAGAACCAGTTTCAAAAATTACTTGGATCCGAGTTCTTCAAGTTCTTCAAAGAATGAGGCTTTTTACACAAAACTTGCAGCCCAATGTTTCCACAGAGCAGCGGTTTTGTGGAAGCCGGAGTAAAGATTGTCAAGAGGAACTGGAAGAAGACTGTTGATGCTTACCGTGCATTACAATAATACCGTGCTACGTTCCTTGCAAACGGATTTAGCTTTGCTGAACTCCTAGTGGGCCAAAGAATTTGCATATCTGTCCCAATTGCTCCTTCTTTGTCAAAGCCTGTTACTCCTGAGCCTCAGAAGCTACGGAAGTGGGAGGAAGAAAATGAGGAGAAACAGAAATGTAACTTCGACACAAGACACGTAGCACGTCTGTTGAAACGTCTGCAAAGTGGGCAATGCATCTGTATAATTGACGAGAGGACAAACAGAATGGTCGTATCAAGCAGGTCCTCCTCACTCCTACCAGGTCAAAATGGACCATGGGGTAAGGCGCAACAGATTCCAGCCTCTTCTAGCTACCAGTGACAGGGTACAGCCTCTACCAGAGCTACAAGGTCTGACCGTCACTAGAAGTGGATGGACAGTGAAGCCAATGTATAGATTAAACTTGTAATACTATCCACCAACTAACCAAAAGGGGGAGGTTTTCAGCAAGCCAGGTTACGCGTGTTATCGCTTGCCAAAGTAAAGAGGACTCTTTGTCTGGGCTCGAGAAGGAATGGTCTTGCTCTTGTCAACATGCTAACACAACAGTCAGCGTCTAAGCAGCTCAGCGGCTGAGCTTTCTGCTTTTGATAACACTTTGTTGCACGCAGCCAAAGCCCAGTGGAAGGCAACAAGCGCGCGTCTTGTAGGGCAGTCGATTAGTCTCGTATACATAGTTAACACCAACGTTGGTTAACACCAAGTCAGTTAACACTGTTATTTGTACATCAGTCCATGCTTGTGTGGTTGCATCTAATTCATGTAAACAAAGCATTTTTTTTTTTTTTCAGCTTGTTGCGTGCATATTTTTCAGACTGCAGATTGCTCGAAAACTTGACATATTAATTTAGCCAGGAAGCTGCAACAAGTAAGAAAAAATACTGGATTGATTGCCACAGGTATACCCCATTCACCCCTAGGCTGACAGTGCTGTGGGAGACTCACTCCTCTGAACAATCAAACGCCTCCATCACATGATTCCACCCTCTGCCCGTGAGTATATGGGCAGGAGCATTATCGCGTGGTAAAAGACACATATCCCAACAAGCATGCCCAACAAGCATGGGCCCAACAAGCATGTGGCCCAACAAGCATGTATAGCTTCCACCGCACTCAGCTTATAGTGGTGTTGCAAAAGATATCACTTCCTCCAGAAATAAAGCATAAAACAAATCTTGCAACATACGGGTGTATCTTTAGGCAGCCGATGACAGACTATAGGTAGTTAATGTCGCCCAACCTATCTCCAGGACGAATGCAACAAATATTTTCTTTTGCCACTAGTCCAGCGATGTCCTCCGACACCGAGAACATCCGCGTCGTGGTTCGGTGTCGTCCGCTGAGTGAGAAAGAAAAGGCTGCCGGCTGCCAGAACATTGTCACCGTAAGTTCCGCCGTGCACGGATCAGACGTGTCGCATAAGTTCAGCCAGGCCTCAGTCTTGTACCTCTCCGTTCATTCTTCCAAGGTTGACAGCGTCCAGGGCACGCTCCTGGTGGCCAACCCCCCCGGGTCTCACGGCGATGCTCCTCCAAAGATGTTCACCTTTGACACGGTCTTTGACGCCGACTCGAAGCAGATGGACGTCTACAACCAGGCTGCAAGACCAATTGTTGAAAACGTTCTCGAAGGATACAATGGTGAAGTTTTGTTTTGTGTTGGTCATTATACGTCTACTACGGCTGCAGTGTGCATGGCCAAGGTTATAGAAATGTCAAAGGGTCACATCGGTCAAAGAAAAATCCTCAAACTGCGGTCTTCAGACCCCTAGGGGTCCTCAGAAGCAATCGGAGGGGTCTCCACTAAATCTTAGAAAAAATGCTCTAAAAAATAAAAAAAGCCCTCCTATATATGCCACTGCACAATACCTTTCGTGCAGAATGCATTGGAGGTCCTCGAACGACTTCCGAGTGGGTCGAGAGGTCTGTGACACGGCCAAAAGTTTGAGAACCGGTAATAGACAATGTGTCCATAGGCTTTACGGCTCCAACCCAGATGACATTTGCAACAGGATGTTAGCATCTGCCTAACACTTATATAATGTGGCTCTATGGATCCAACCTCACACCAATCATCAGCCATCTTAAGCGCATTCTTTTGTGTACATCCAGGTACCATATTCGCCTATGGGCAAACTGGCACCGGCAAGACGTACACCATGGCCGGAGATCGGTCTGTGCCGGAGCTGAAGGGCATCATTCCAAACACATTCGCTCACATTTTTGGCCATATCGCCAAGGCTGGCGACGACAAAAAGTAAGACTGGCAGTTTTGTTCCTTTGAAACAGTTTGTTATTGCGAGTTACCCCTAGAGTTGCAAAGCCTCCTATACTGACGGCTGGTCAAATCTGTAACCAAATTTAAATCGAGTATTTCTCGTTGAAGTTGCAAAGTTATCAGAGAAAACTCGGGGGTTTCCATGCAGCCTCGCATAATTTGTACCCTTTTGACCTGTGCCGCCTTAAGGTTCCTCGTGAGGGCCTCTTACCTGGAGATCTACAACGAAGAGGCTAGGGATCTGCTTGCCAAGGACCAAAACGCAAGGCTGGAAGTAGGTGACCTGTGCCCTCCATTCAGACAAAGAGTGCAGACGGCAAGTTTTATTGTATGCACATATTTATCTGTGTTTTGCCTCTGCCACCAAGGTCAAGGAACGGCCAGACATCGGCGTCTATGTCAAGGGCCTCTCAAGCTGCATGGTAAAGACGGCAGACGAGCTCGACAAGATCATGACCTTGGGCAACAAGAACAGTGAGTTTGAGCATGTCGGAGCACGCTTCCACATGTCGATAGCTGCCCCGCTCTGTGTACTCCTCCCGTCTCCAAAGAGTTCAGCTGTAACTAGTGTCAGAGGTGTTCCCAGCCTTCCCTGTTTCCTGCACATGAAAGCTGTTCAGTGAGATGAGATCTCTTTAGCTAAAGTCATTGGATCTGGGTAAAGTAGCATTAAGCGGTCGCCATTTCGGTTCAGGAATGAGAGGTTTCTCTTTGACCTATCCATTCTTGGTGAGCCGATTCACAATCTCAGTGTACAGAAACATTTTTCTCGTATGCCGAGATTCTGCCATCCACACACTGGCGAACTAAATACACATCTTCTCAATGTCACCACATGCGGCGTTGGTGCTTGGTGGCACTGAGAAATAGTTTTCCTGTCTCTAAACATATGCAAGAACAATATCAATGAGAGATTCGTAGAGATAAGCACGTATATAAGTTGATGCATACATGGTGCTAAAGACACTCATATTGGCGAGGAACGCTTTCAGTACGGCAGAGTTTTACAGCAATCTTGGTGTGGCTGGTGGTTCTCTGAGAACCTTTTCGAAGCTTTGAAGATTTGATGGGACCGAAATGGTGATTGCCATGGCCAAAAAGTCCCGACCAGCCAATTGCCTTGCAAGCTTTTGGTCGTCTGAATGTTTCGTTTGCATCCCCCCAACAGGCAGGGAAGGCAATGGTGCCACTTTCCCAAGATCCAGTGACTTCGTCTTCGGCGGCAGAGCCGTTGACACGACCGTAACAAGCCAGCCCCTTTTGTTCCGTTTTTTTTTCTTTTACCAGGAGTGGTTGGTGCGACCAACATGAATGCACACAGCTCACGGTCACACGCGCTCTTCACGATCACGGTGGAGTGCAGCGAGCGTGGCCTGGATGGGAGGCAGCATGTGCGCGTCGGGAAGCTCCATCTCGTCGACCTGGCTGTATGTATATCCCGTGCGTACTACAGTCGACGCTCGTAAGCTAGCTTGAGGCTGGTCGCGTGATCCCTTGCATCTACAGGGTGGCTCTGGAACGGCGTTTCACTAGAGCGAGGGTTTTGCGGTACTTGCCAGATCAAACGTGCATACCACGAAAAACAGTCATTCATAACATTGCCAAAAGTTTTTGCCAAGATAGTAATTAAGAATTTATGCGCAAAAAAAGAAGAAATATATAGGAATTGTTGTTAGAGATCGCAAGAGGTCGTAATGCACTCGGTTGTAAGCAGGCGTAAGTGTGCAAATGAGCACCTTTAGAGAAAGAGCCAAGACATATGGTCGGTCGCATCGAGATATAGAACTCGTGGTATTGCCAAACGTGGACGGATTCGTGGAGACCCAAAGTAAATCTCGAAAGGCCGTGCAAAGAACTACAACCTTGTGTACGGACTTGTTTCTTAGGGTTCCGAACGGCAGAGCAAGACCGGGTCGACCGGCCAGCGTCTCAGGGAGGCGTCCCAGATCAACCTGTCCCTGTCCACCCTGGGCAACGTGATATCGGCGCTGGTCGACGGCAAGAGCACCCACATTCCGTACCGCAACTCCAAGCTGACGCGACTGCTTCAGGACTCCCTCGGCGGCAACGCCAAGACCCTCATGGTGATCGGTCGGCTCGCTATACCTTTGTGGTATAGCGAGCCGACTTTGTGGTATAGCCAGCTCGAGACGTGTGCCAAGTTGTTTTTCGTTCATTCTTTCTCGGTACCATCAATGTCAGCGCTTACGATTTGCCGTATTCTGCTCCCATTTTTAAGCCCCTGCCTAAATCCCCTTTTCCAAGATGGCTGCTATGAGGGATCCCCTTTTCCAAAATGGTCGCTGCTAGGGGTGTCGCAAACTTTGTTTCGAACCTCGATTTGGACGTTCGAATCTCTAGGTTTGACTGGTTCCCTTCGAACTTTCACAAAGGTTAGAAGTTTGACTTATGAACAGTGTTGCCTGATTTCTACACAAATATTTCAAATTTTGGGAAACATAATAATTTAGAAAGTCGTTTATTTTATATTTTATGAAGTGGTTACCAATGTTTACACCATATAAAAGCAGAAGCATGCGCTTTTAATGCTTTCATTAGTTATTATTAATGAGAACCAATGTTACCAATACACCAAATAAATATTGCACTTTTCCTATGTTAGGTGGAGTCAACTGTTTTTTTTTTTTTTCATTTTCGCGTATGCGCAGAAAAGTCAAACTTCAGTCGAACCTTTGTCGAACATCCTGTTGAAAGTTGGAAAGTCTAACTTGGTTGAACTTGCACCTGGGCAGGTTCGCGACACTCCTAGTCACTACGAGCCTACCGTAGTATGGTAGTTACCGTACTATCCCAAGTGACCCACCCAAGATAACCCACCCCTATTCTTGACTCGATTTGCTATCTTTTTTAAACACCAAAAGATAGCCCGCTTCTATTAACTACAGTACTCCGGCCAATGGTGACCTCGGCCAAAATGAGGTTAGGTAGCTACGGCAGGAGATAAACGATTGTTTGCCTAGGTCACAAAATACAAAAGTAGCATTTTTAAAATTTTTCTTCATTACACACTGAAGGTTAGCCCACCCATCATTTTCACTCTATTTCCTCTTGCTATTAGGTGGGCTGTATCTCAGGATAATATGGTAGTTGCAGCTGCCACATATCCACAGGGCGTTTCTCGAAATGCAGGTCAAATAATTCTTGCGAAAAGTATGCATCGCGCAGAAAGAAGGTTAGTGTCATATTGGTCTTTGCCAAAGTGCCCATTTGGGAAAATGAATAATGTTTAATATTATTAGTTTAGTAATTGCTTTCGAGGACTTAAATTTTTAATGATATTTAATTAAATTGAATTAATGAGTAAATTTAAATGTATGGTTTGAATCAGAAACATTCACCCAAAAATTTTGCCCCCTGAACCGAAAAAACAGGTGCGGTGCCACGGACCTCCATGATACGGGCTGTTATCTTACTGCGGTGCGGGGCTCTCCTGAGCCAATAAAGAGTACTATTATTATTGTTATTAAATTATATTGGCCTCGATCTTGGGGAAAGTCGCTCTGCACCAATGTTCTTTGTGGTCCGACAGTGCACCAACATCGGTCCGGCAGACTACAACTACGACGAGACTATCAGTGCCCTGCGGTACGCCCACCGGGCCAAGAACATCAAGAACAAGGCGAGGATCAATGAGGACCCCAAGGACGCGCTGCTGCGGCAATTCCAGAAGGAGATTGAGGATCTTCGCAAACAACTTCAGGAAGGTGTGTCATATTGCGGGAAAGAATATGTGCCGTTGATTTTTCCCAGTCTTTGGGGGTCCGCAACCAGAGCAGCGAATGTCATTGAGCTTCAGCATGTTTTTGCCACTTGGCGTCCACCAGGGCCGTAACCAGGGGGGGGGGGTTAGGGGGTTCTGACCCCCCCCCCCCCCGAAAGTTTTTTCTGGGTACGGCCCTGGTCGGTGCACTTGCAGCCAGCCGATTTTAATCTCCACCTCTGCGCACGCGCAGTGGCACCGGTCGGCTATCGGGTACCAAACCGGGACCGGTTCTCCGGTTTGCTGTAACTCTCCATTATATGCCACCGATGCACATGATTCATAGGCGAAAATAAGACAATAGACACTTTCAAAATGGCCGCCGTTGTCCCCGAAACCCCCCCCCCCCCCCCCCCCCCGAAATTTTTTTGTGGGTACGGCCCTGGCGTCCACTAAAGATGATGTTCACTGACGATGACGTCCACTAACGTTGACGTCGTGCGCAGGTTTTGCCCTCTAGGTGGTACTTGTTGCAACGCACCCCCAAGAGAAAAAGAGGTGGACATGGGAGCGAGCTGAGAAGCACAGGGGATGAGAAGTTGTGACAACTAGATCGCTGCTCTAATAGACCCTCTCCAAAAGTGTTCACCGTCTGCTAGCCGTTGTGGCAGTTGTCCGAGTCTACCACTGTTTGGGCACGCACTTTGAGCATGTATTGGACACGAGGGCTGTGTCGGCGTTTGGCGCGAACTCGGCTTGCGTCGAGTACGAGTGCTGCATCAGCATTCAGCGCAAAGCCGGATTAAATCATGTGCTTTGTGCTCGAGGAATGTCGACCGCCAGTGTTGCTCGATGGGGTTTTGAAAAGGATGTTTTTTTTTAGAATTGCATGAAAACAAACTCGGATATTTCAAACTTCTGGTTAATTCAAACAGATTTCAAAATTTTGGTGGTCCCGCTATGTTTTTGATGTATAGATAAGCGGCTTAATTCAAACCTCGTTTTCGTGTATTTCCTACTTTTTGTTCTCACGGCCGTGTTGAGTGCGCTTATTTTTGTGCACTGTTGCACTCCAGAGAGTTGCTTCTCTGCAGTGCACCGATGCTCGGTGAGAAGCACACTCGACGGGGCTCAAGCGGGGCTTAGAGCTATAAAAACGGGCACCACGTGAAAATTTCCATAGCAACTTGCACGGACGCTGTGACGTGGTGGCATGTCATAGGTCCACGTCACGGCGTCCACGCAAGTTGCTATAAAAACTGCCACCCGGTGCCCGTTTTTTTCGGTCATATGTCCCCTGCTTAATGGTCCACATTAGACCAACTTCTTGGCCTGATGCTCAAACTTATTTTGTTTTGAGTTGTCATGTGCTGTTTAAACAGCCTACTATAAACGACAGTTTTGGGAGATAATAAACCTATGTCATACATTTCACAAATGTTTCATGTGTGGCATAGCTGCTTATGATTAGTAGGCCTATGTAGAGGAAATTCTGCTTTTTATGTGTAGCCATTTATATAGCAGATCATAATTTTATCTTGCATCATATTTAGATGAATTTCTAATATAATTTAAACTTTTGATAATCCATGGCTTCCTGCAGTTTGAATTGCTGAGAGTATACTTTACTTATATTGGCCAAAAATTCCATGTCAGGCTTTCATAAATGGGCCATAGGTTCAGACTTAAATGCCTATTTGGTACCAATAAAAATGGCACAGCTAAAGTTTTAATGAACCGAACAGTGTTGTAGAGACAGCTAAACTTTTAATGAACCGAAATCTTAGAAACTCTTTGCTTATTATATATTTGCCTACAAAAAGGTCTCTATCTCTTGTAATATTGTGGCAATCCTTTGGAAAAGAAGTCGGAGTCTGCCATATAAAATGTAGATGTCCCGACGACAGACGTTAGAATTTGATTCTGTGTTACAGGAGTGGAGCCATCGACACCGGACGACGAGAGCAGCGAAGAAGCGAGCGACGACAGCGGTGACAAGAAGGGCCGGAGAAAACGGAAGAAAGGTGCGTCCTAGTCTTTGCAAGCATCACAAACAGTTTGTGCAAATCCTGTGTGGTACATCTTGCTATCTTCATACGTCTCCGCGTAGCCATCTCCGAGGAACGGATGCGAGAGATCCACGACGAGATTGTGGCGGACCGGAAACTGCTGTCCGAGAAAAAGGACCTGGCGCAGGAGGAACGAGACCGGTTGGCAGCCGAGCTCGAGACGCGAGAACACCAGCTCAACACGGCAAGGCACGTAGATTCGACGCAGCTGAATGCCGTCTTTGGATAGGTGCATTGGGACGTCAAAAGGGATGCTAAAACAATATTTGGGTCGAATTTCGCTAACTGGATGTCACTCAAGACTGGTTCTTACATTGACCTTTAGCTGCGACCGCTCATGACGAGAGAACACACAACTCCGACCTGCATGTCTATTTTCTAGTTTTTTACACGTCGTTCTATCAGCGTGAGCTCGGAATAATTTTGACAATGTAAGCTGACCATCTCTCATGGACAGTGCATCGATTTGATCTCAAAACTTCTTTACAAAACAAACTACACCGACTTGACGTAACACAAATAACAATTTAATCATTTAATTGATTCAACTGTTATTTGTGTTATGTCAAGTCAGTGTAGTTTGTTTCATAATGATGAGTCCCGGCTTCTAGAACATTTTTGCATTCATTCGGAAATTCTGTAAAACTTCGGTACGGACACTCATTTGCAAAACAAAATAACCGAAAATCCCATGGACCTCGAAACATGTCAAATATGTTCACGTTATCTTCGAAAAAACTAGGGCATATACGTAAATAGAACACATTGTTTCGTCAAAAGAATATATTTCTTATTTCTGTGCAATGAACACCAGCCAGCGGTTTGTTTAAAACAAATGGTGTAGAACTATTTTTCCAAATTCTAAAAATTGCGCGATATCCGCGCTGTTTTTTTAACGTGCCTTTCCGAGTGTACGGTTTCCTTTAAGCTTAGTGACTTAAATAACAGTAATTTTTTGTATATTCGTCTTTCGCTTATGCCGCCAGCACTAATAGTTTCTTTCATTTACGTTTTTGGAGCTCTTTGTGCAAGGTGATTTCTTTGCGAATCGTAGTGACTTGACTCTCTGAATAATTTGACACAAAGTTGACGTGAACTGCATTCCGGAGGCATAAAATAGCGGATATTTTGCTTGATTGCTGTGGCTGTATGAAAGTTCTCTTTGTTGACAAGGCAAAAATGGTACGCAGGCATGGCGGTGGCAGTGGACAACAGTGTGTACTTCGGGGACGGCAACAACGTGCGGATGGTCGACAGCCGCGGGATCATCCACACGCTGATCGGAGACCATCAGCACAAGCGCCAGTGGAGGCCCATCCCGTGCTCGGGGACCCTGCACATGAACGAGGCAAGCACGAGGCTCACAGGCGCCCGGGCGCAAACTTACCGCCTCTTATCAAGTATCTCGCCAGGCCTCAATGGGACATTTTTTGTGTTCTGGAAGTGTCTCGATTTTACGAAACGGTTTTGTGGAATGTTCGTTTCGTATCGCAGGCCTGGCCCGGCTTGCTAGTCTTAGCTAAGGACCCCGCAGGAGTCACCTCTATGTGATTGGTGAATGAGGTCACCATGGACCCTGAGCCACTGTGGGTGTCCCACCCCCGCCTGACTGTGCGTGGCATCCCCGTGTCTGAGGAAAAGAGCATCCTGGTGGCTGAGCAGAGCCCGGGGTAGATTTAAACCCTCCCCCCCCCCCCCCCCCCCCACACACACACACACACACTTCCCAACCCACCCAGTTAGAGCAATACACCACTTCAGCCCCGCTTCTCAGAAACGGCTGTCCTGGTATGGCCCGGCCGGGATAATCCTGTCGTCGCCTCTTATAATACAGTTCCTTCTTATCTTTCACTTTTCTGCTTCTCGTTTTCCAACTCTCTCTGTATTCACTTTTTATTCTTCTTATTTAGCGGCAAGGGCCAAGATCAAGTGGCAGCAAATTTCGTTAACTCAACCTACTAGTTATCCAGCGTTGACGAACTCGCCGTCATTAGGTGACTTCAATTTAGTTGCTCGCGGCTGTTGGCGTTTCGTGTGGTTATCGCTTAATTTTGTGTACAAATGTGTCTGTTAGTGATAGCACACAACCAATAAAACAGTGCTACCGTGTCACTCTGACAAATTCGAGGTGATTTCAACCCGAAATTTCGGTCTTTTTTACGAACAGTAGATGACGCATCTAATCATGTTTCTCGTTAATTTCGGCGCGGTACGACGGCGAAACGACTAAACTGATGCGCGGTGAGAATAACCATCGTCTATAACAAAACTGGGCAACCATTTCTTTTTTAACAATATTAGACGAAAGATGGAGGTCTGCTGAGCGTCAATCGACACGACGCCGTTACTATAGGAGCCCTGAAATCCGGCGGTGCCATTTTTGGGAAGCGAGGGAAGCGAGGGAAAGGTTGCGGAGAAGAGAAGAAGAAAACGAGATAGATTCTTTATTATCATTTTGGAAGAAACCTCTCACCTCGCAGGTACCGACTCTCTCGATCCGAAAGAGAAAGGAAAGGGCTGGAGACGCTTGCAAAGAACGTGTAGGGATTCTATGACTTCCCTACAGCGTCGAGATTATTGCACCCTTCTCTCCCCTTTCCCTTTTTTTCGGGGCCAGGATTTTTGTTTTTGTTAATTCAGGGGCGTACAAGGGACAGCTTCTTTTCTTTCTTTTTTTTAACTTTAATGTGAGTTACGACCGAATGCACGTAGACCGGGGGAGATCCAAGATCTTCTTGGCGTGCACACGGAGAATATCATTCACGGAGTGCCCCATCTGATCGATGTAGTCGGCTCCGCACGGAAGAGAAATGCTGTAAACCTTCTCCCTCTTCCAAAACCGAAAGCTCTGGGCGTGTTCTTTTTTTTTTCTTTCTTTTTTCTTTTTCATGTGGGCAGTGGTGTGGGTTGGCGACTCGCTTGCACATGCTTCCGAATTTAAACTTACAGGTGAAGAAAGAGGTCTCTGTTGGCGAATTGATCTGCTCGTGCCCGCGATCGGTGCACCGTGTTCTGTGAGTATAGGAATGCACACAGGGTGGTAAGACAGGACTTAGAAAGGGGCCTCCCTTGAACTGCTCCTAGACTGTAGAATGAGTTTCTTACTGATGTTATCAATGAGGTACACTGTGTACCTCATTGGCCTACAGAGACAGACTACCTCTGATCATAGGCCGCTCCCCCGTGCTCGACCACGGGGGTGCCTAGAGGCGGAAAAGATTGAGGAAGCCTTCGAACTGTGTCAGTTGGCTCAGAGACGGAGCACTAAAGAATATTGAGGCCGAGATTGCAATGCATGACCTTGACATCCAGCGAGAGTATGTTGTTTCCCTGATTAAAGTGCACTGTGCGGCTAAAATCAACCATCTGAAGAGAGCCCTGAACGCGGAAGGGGTGAGGGAGATCACCAGAGGAAACGTAAGCTTGTTGGTAGGCAGTTTTGCGGTTCAGTACCAACGTAGCTAGTTGAGCTAGCCGCATGAGGCCCGGGATATGTGATCACCTGATTTTTTTTTCTTCTTTTTCCTCGCCCACGACAAGAAGCAAAGGGAAAGGAGAGCTTTCTTTCGAACGCGTTGCGAGGTGACGAGGTGGAGGGGAGGGAAGCCATCCGGCCGCTGCGGGTGTTAGAAGGCAGGTAACACAAGCCAAAGAACGTTGCCTTTAACGTCACACGACTCGAAAGAACGTTGCGGTTTCCTGAACCCGCAATCTGGTTTAATTTTAACCGCGTTTAACCGCAAGCATCCGGTTGGCGCCGCACTTACCCGTTCAAGACCACAGGAAACAGGCGGCGAGGGAAGGCGCCCCTAATTGTTCCCCAGTGCTCGCGAGACGCAGAAGTAGCGCCAGAGACTGGCGTTTCTTCGTGTGCCTAAGATACCGGAGACAAACACCTCTCTGAAGAAAGGGCTTGTCCCTCTCCCGAAGAAATTTTCACTCGTGACGCACAAACATTTTTACTCAAAAGGGGCAAAAGAATGCAACGCTCACTGTCAAGTGCTGCGGTGCCCTTCGGTTTGTTAATAAAGCACTGTGGTGAAAGCACAAACCACCAAATGGCTGCCTTCGTAGTAGGCTCACAGGATTTTGTTCAAGAAGCAGTACTTGCGTCCTTCCTTTCTACCATAATTGAGGTAACTCATTACTTTTCTACCGTTAGTATAATTAACCACTCTTGAAGCTCTGTAATTTCTACTTTATTCAATTTACTTTTGACGCCAATTCTCACTGACTTAACTTTTTTTTTTTTAATTTTACATGCATTCTGTTTTTTACCACGGCCTTGGGATACCAGCGCATACTGCATGTTTTGCACTAACACACTGCAAATTATCTTTGTCGTTTTTCAACAATTCCTTCTCCACGGGGTGGGTGTTTAGTTTATGTACTTTTACGCAAATATTCAAACCATTAACTTATACACTCAAAACTCCGGATGGCAATTTGACTCTTTCATTGCTACAAATGTTCACCGCAGATTTCATTCAAACGAGACACGGTTCAAGCGACTCATTCAATGATTCACTCGTTCATTCATTAACGTCAGGCAGTTGGTTTATATTCTTTTGTCGGTCCGCCGCAGGCAAAGCTCCGCTGGCCGACCGAGCTGGCCATCAACCCGCTGGACAACTCGCTCTACTTCATCGACGACCACATGATCCTCCGCCTGACCAAAGACCAGCGCCTGCTGGTGGTGGCTGGCCAGCCCGTATACTGCAAGAGCGAAGACGGTGCCACCCAGAAGAGCCGGATGGGCGACGATTCCGACCTGGGCACCCTGATCAGCTTCGCCTTCGGGCCGACGGGGATGCTGTACGTGGCCGAAGTGGACCAGAGGGACTCGTACAAGGTGCGCGCCCTGGGCCCGGACGGAGAGCTGGTCCACTTCGCCGGCAGGGACGAAGGCAAGTGCCCCGAGGGCAGCCCCTGCGAGAATTGCACCTCGTGTGGCTCCAAGAGCTCCCTGGCCGTGGACACCAGGCTGCAGGCCGTATCCTCGCTCACGGTGACCAGCGATGGCGTCGTGCACATTGCGGACCTGGGGAGCCTCCGGATCCTGTCGGCCGTGCCGTACCTGCCGGAGCCTGACGACCAACAGGAGTACCAAGTTGCGCAGCCCGAGAGCCACGAACTGTACGTCTTCAACAAGTACGGCCAGCACATCGTGACTAGAAGCATACTGACGGGGAAGACCAAGTACACCTTCCTTTACAACGTCAACACCAGTTTTGGCAAGTTGAGCGCCGTCACTGACACGTCTGGGAATAAGGTAAGTGCGACGTTTACGCCGACGCGCACAAGCTGAGGCGGTGCTGCGTGTCTGCTTTCCTCCAGAGCGTGTCGCCGACGGTAGAGGGCTTTAAGGCAGTATTAGTGACGTGCGCGGCCAAAAGCGTCGCTGTGGTCAGCTTTCCACGATTGGCCAAACATCGAGCATATGAGCACTGTCAGATTCTCAACTTTGACGGTGTTAGTTTCGGATTGCGATGGCTCCTAGCTTCTACTGTGCTTTTTAAACGCATAATCGAAGTCGTCGTCGCACCCGATGGTAAGTAGCCAGACTAACAACTGGTGACGTCACGGCGAGGCAAATCCCAGTCGTGACGTCACGGAAGTGAACCATAAGAGGGCGCCACCGAAATATCTCGGCGCTAATAGAAGCCAAGCAAATGGCGTGGCTATTTCCCCATCGGGAACTACGTGGAAATGCCGAGAATGAAGTGCCACGTGATGAGTGTCCCACATTTCAATACACACGTCCCTTTCGTGGGAATACAAAAATTGCTGTCCTCAGATTTGCGTACGATAAAAAAAAAAAAAAAAAAATGCTAGTCTCAGCAGTCCGATATTTCAGCAAGCGTGTGAGCGCCGAATAAGAAAATTAAATTTGCCGGAGCACATTTAACCTTTTTTAGTCATTTATTTGACACCAGTAGCAAACGGCTGTGCCTCCTTCGCTTGCCCCCGATGTCAAATAAAAAAATTAATTCAACAAAGAAGCGCTATGAATCGAATTTTAGTCCCTCAAAGAGACCCTGACTGCAATTTAAAGCAAAAATTCGGGGAAAAAAAACTGAAAAAAAAATATAAACACTCGATATTAACGCTTGAAATTATGGGGATGTACCCGGTTTTATTTCTCACCACCTGGCATCGTCTGCTAAGGTCTGATGACTGCGAACGATTCCCGCCTGATAGCTTCAAAAAACCTTTGAAGTATTTCAATAGATAATAAAAATGATCTCTGGTGACCGTTGCCTCATTGAACCGCCACATTTAAGGCTCGTTCACACAGTCCCGTTTTTTTACGTCACGTTACGAAAAGTCACCGGGATATCTGTGCTTCGTATTGAGCGTGGCTACCAATTCAAGGAGATAGCCTGGCACGCGGCTTTCGAGACACGCATGTTTCGGTGACTTAGACGTAACGCAAGAAAACGGTGCTGTGAGAAAAATTGAACCGAGCTCAACTCCTCACGTTACGTTACGACGAGCCTTGTGTCCCTGGTTGCCACGGTAACACACCGTCCTAGCTCGTCGTCACCGAAACATTCGTGTGTCGAATGTCGCGTGCCAGGTTATCTCCTTGAATGGTAGCCACGCTTAATACGAAGCACAGATTTTCCGGCGACTTTTCGTAACGTAACGTAAGTAAATGGGTCTGTGTGAACGAGCCCTTATCTTGCTCCCAACAAAGTCCAAGCTGTCGACTGTTGACACCAAAATATTAATTTAAAAAGGTTTCTGTTCTAACACTCCTCGTATTTCAGCACGAAATATAAAACTTTGTTTTCGGAAAACGCCATAAGTTTTATAGTCGAGAGCAACCTAATGAGGCAGAAAATGGCGGTTTTCCCCATGTCTCCCATAGAGTCCCATGTATTTGCTGGTGTCAAGCGATGGCTGCTGGTGGTGCCACTCGACCACAGCAAGACATACCTCGAGCGGCAATCCAGCCTACTACAATTACAGATCAGCAATCTGGCCGCTCCGATGTCTTTGTCCGCGTGGCTTGTACACTTTTAGAAGATCGTGTGTGTAGCGCGTCATCTGCTCGTATCTGAAAGCGACGAGTATACGCACGTGTTTGGTTGTGGCTGCCCGTCAAAGCTAGCTTCACGCGCATGGGACTTTCATCCATGAAGTGTCCATTCATTACTGTGTTTGTAGGTTTGGCACGAGTTCTTTCTGACTCGCCATCACGTCCCAAAACTCAAGTGGAATATGCGGTGGCCAGTGCAACGCAAACCCGTGGTGTGCAGCAGTGTGTAAATTTGGGTAGTCTAAGTTTCAAACCGTCACATAGAAAGGTTGGCTTTGAGCAGAATATACAACACCAGGTTTTTGAACTGTTAAGGGGGCTATTCCGACAAAATTCCTTATCAAGTTTTGTGTTCTTTGACTCGAGCTATTCGAAAGATGAAATTAGGCGACCGAATGACAGGCGGCACGTCTCGGTCCTCCCGTGCAGGTGGCTTTCCTGCGAGACTCCGGCAACAGCCTGCACACCATCGAGACGGCCAGGGGCCAGAAGTGCAGAGTCCACGTAACGAAGGAAAAGCTGCTGGAGTCGTTCGTAGACCCGGACAACCTGCAGACGCACTTTCACTACGACTCGGCGGGCCTGCTGGTGACGCGCTACGACGCGACCGGCAAGACCTTCCACTACATCTACGACGAGAACGGGCGCCTCACCGACGTCATCAACCCCAGCGGCAGGCTCACCAGCCTGTCGTTCGACCTGAGCGACAAAGGGGCGTCGGTGTCGGCCGTCCAAGAAGGGGCGCGCAGCGTTGTCACCGTCAAGGGTCTCACCGTCATCACCTCGCGAGGTGACTCTTCCTCTACCAGTGCCACCGGCGTCTTCTCTTAATCTCCAGAACCAGCTATCTTTTCTCTTTTCTTATTGCGGCGTGTTTTCTTCTTGCAGGTGGCGTGTCCATCGAGACCATCTTGCACCAGGACGGCGCGGTGGAGGTGAGCACGCCCTGGAAGGCTGGAGCCGTCTGGGAGGCGGACACGCACCGTGTGCTGCGCGAGCTGCTCCCGGTCCAGGCCGGCATGTTCCCGGTGCCCGTGAGGCAGACCCTGTACTGGGACTTGGAGTCGGCCAACACGCTCCAGTGGCGCTACGACCTCAAGTACTCGCGTCGGGACGGGCACCGCTCCATCTCCGCCGTCGAGAGGGTGCTTCTGGTGAGGAGCCACGTTGAGCCTCCAAGATGACGAGGGTGCCGGGTAGTCTGTTTCACTGACCGGAGTTCGGACACGAGTGCTCTCGCACTTTCGGTGACTGAACCTAATGCTCAGGTCAGGTTGTATCACTCGTGTTCAGGCTGTGCCCCTGTTGTCCAGAAGCTGTGCTGGCCCAAGATCCACCTAATAATAGTCTCCTTGGGAATGCACTGAATGTGCGCTTTTGTACTCAGTGTTGCCAATTTAGTGCTTTTCCCGCCTGACTTAGCGGTTTTCTCAGTTGTCTACTTAAACATTTTGGCTTCGGCCAAAAGTCTTCTGAAGTGTTTGTTGTTGTGACAAAACAGCCAATTTTGACCTTCTTGAAACATAGGAATCATTCAGGACTTAATACAGGAGGACATTATGGTACTTTAATTTAAATTTGACACAGACGAAGCAGAACTCTTCGCTTACACGGCCAAACGCATTCCCATAAATCTAATTTCGCCAAGGGGCTTAAAGTGCTACTCGTTAGCAAAGGAAAAAGTTTACAGTAAATGAAGAAAAGAAAGGAGCGCAGAATTTGGCGCTTTTCACCGTAAGAATTACGCAAGCAGTGGAGCACGTAGCCGAATACAGTCGCTAGTCAGCACATTTCGAACACGTTGGAAAACTTCATACCAATAGTATATCCGTTGCTTTACACGTACAGCGAGAGAAGTAAAACACGCAACGACCTGAACCGCACACGCTGAAAACAGAGCAGCGCAGAAGCATTTAAAAACATGTTGCGCAAAACACCTCCACGACCGGCGTGCTTACTATTAGCCCCGAGAGCGAGCACAAGCGTCGCTGCGGTCGCCGCGCCCGGATTGAGTGAGGTGTACTGTGACGTCAGGGCGAGTACTCCGCTCCGCGATCTCGCATCGGCTCGCCTCCCAGCTCCGGTTTCCTGGTTTGGCGTTGTGTGCCGCAAGCTCTTCATGGAGCTGCACTTCGTTTACCCGGTGTGCAAGAAGTTGAGTTAGGCCGATATTGACGTGCTTCCGTACATTTTATAAGCCTGCTTGTCCCTTTTACCTTTAAAATTGCGTTACAAATCCCGAAAGCTATCGGCGGAGGCAATTCCGCCGATGAGCCTCCCCGTCCGTCCACACGACACAAGGCAATCTTGCGAGAGGTCAGTGAAGCGATGGCGCAAGCGTTTGAGACGCTGGAATTCTGTTCCTTGCACGTTCATGATTTAAGACAATATTACATCCCGCTTTCAATGCATTTGAAGTGGCATTTATATCATGCGCCTTTGGGTGGTCGGCGAATTAGCTGGCGACCCTGACTCTGCGGTGCCACTCTGCATGCGCTGGTTCGCAGATGTTTTCTTTGAAGTGCTCGTGGAACAGAGTTGTTTTACATAAATGTGGCTTCTTCGTGAATTAATTATATAGTTTATACACGTATGCAGGCATATTTCTTAGAAGCTGCACACTTACTGGAAATTAGTTTGTATGGTAGCAGCAAAAACGGCCGAATTGCCCCCAGTTCTCTGTATGATATGTATTAACTGCCAAACTATGCACGGCAATATTTCCGTAATGTGGAATGCTTATACTTTTTCCTGACATTCTTTATTCCAGCCTATTCCGAAGATACACCGTTTAGTCTGAATTGTTATTTCCAATTAAAAGAGACACTGCTGCAGGTCCCCAAAAGCTTCCTCAGCCTCCAAACTCCCTACAGCTGGACTCTCTGACAACAGAGGAAAACAGGAGTAAAAGCAAGCATTCGAACGTCTGTCCAGTGGAAGATGCAGCACTAGTAGCAAAAAATGTGGAACCTGTGAAGGGCGATAGTCTGCGTGAGAAAAGCTCCTGGTATTTTAACTTCAGGACAATTCGATTTAAGTAAAATCTCAATTTTAGGGCTTAAGGGGCTAATAACAAGCTAGACACCTTCGCTTACGTTTTTTATACATTACTTGAGGGTTGATATAAACAAGTCCACAAATACCACCCGTGTAGTCCATTGAAATACTATCCGAATCCATCAAAGGTCAAATGCAAGCACTGTATATAATAAATGTTCCTTGTTTCTTTTTTTTGTTTTTTTTTACTTTGCCCCTGCACTTGGGCTGTCTTACTTGTGATTTTTTCTTGATGGCCCAGACTGTATTTAACATGTTGCTCGAGCAGCATGCAGCTTTTCTGCTTCGGCGATCTTGTTTAAAAACAGATACAAAAAAAAAATAGTATACATAACCTCCCAATTCATTCAGACCATCAGCAGCATTTATTGTGCGAGATGTAAATCTATAGTGACGCTCCTGCAATTGTGGCCATATTTCTTTATTTTCATATACCAGCTGTGATTCATGCGTTGCCTGCCCTGTCAACCATGTTTAAAATGTTTGTTGAAGCTTCGCCTGTAGCTGCAGGCCGTACCTCAATAAAGGTTCAAATAAAAATTTACACTTCCTAAGAAAAACACGCAAAAAAATTAAATAGAAACGAGCGCGCCGTCAGCTAGCGTCGTCACAGCCTCCACAGGGCGAGCGGGCCGAGTCGGGGAAAAATTCTCTCCTCGCCGTGACGTCACCCCGGTTCGCCGTAAGGGGGCGCCACGCGAACTTCTCGGGGCTAATAAACAAAAAGGAAACGAGAAAACCTTTTCTAGGCCTTCGACATTATAACGCCTTCGGATTAGCGACTTAAAGGTAGGCGACCAGACTCGAGATTCTGCAAGGCAGAAGATCCTCCTCACCATTGGGGGGAGGAGGAAACAGGCGACGGTGGACAGGGTAGAAAGGGGAGAGGAGGAAGCGAGGGAAAAGTGGAAAGCGCGAACTGGCCGTCAGTCTTTAAGATTCTTGAGGATTTTTTTTTATTATTTTTTTAATTAATACATTCTCCACATGTCGTTTTCTTGGAAGAAATAAGTATTTATCCTTGCATGTAGCCAGGGTTCCTTAGTGAGACCAGCCGCGAAAAGGCTAATTGGGGCTTCCTTTTGAAATTTGAGCGCTGGTTTCAGTCTTTTGAATTCATACTCCCCTGCACATGTTGACGGCAGCCCGACAGTGTCCCAAAAGCGCTCCAAATCTAGCCGTGAGCTTGGCTAACGTGGAGCAGACCGGAGTGCGATTGCATTGTGTGACCCACCTGCAGGTGAACGGCACCCAGTACCTGACGACCGAGTACGACTGGGTGGCTGCGAGGGAGATCCTCTACAACAGCTCTAGGCGCCCGTTCCTGGTGGTGCAGTACGACAGCTTCGCCCGGCCCGTTCAGTGGCTGCCCACCGAGACCCGGATGCCCCTGAACGTCATGTACGACCGCCTCGGCCGCTTCTCCGGCTGGCAGCAGGGCCAGCTCTCGGAGACCTTCGTGTACGACCGACTGGGACACCTCTCCGAAGTCAAGTTGGCCGACAACGCTGCCATCAAGTACGCCTACGACTCCATCAGCAAGGTAACGGGCTCGTTTTTGACGGGACCTTTGCCAACCTAACACGCCGCTGCCCGAGTGAAAGAGTGACTCTCGCACGATCAGTGTCCCCACGGCTCAATGCATACACGATGAAAACAATCTCGGAGAAATCTTGTCACGCGCTATCAGCTCCGTGTGAACGCTTGCTACGGACGTGGTTTGAAGCAAAACTCGTCGACGTCGGAGGCTCTATTTTACTTCACAGAGTTTTTACCTGCAATTTCGACACGATCATGAGCGATAAAGTAACATTCACTGGGATGTAATTAGATTGACAGTTATTGGACTGCCACTCACCCAGCTCCATTTACCTACCCTGAATTCTGGTTCCCGTTTGTCAATGTGTATTGATCACCACTATTTCGAATACCGGATGGCGTTGTCTGCTAGTCGTAGAAAAGGCTGCACCTTGCCTTTTCTACGGCTGCACCAAACCGGTGGCTCTTTCCGAACGAGGTCTCTACCTCCGAGAAAGAGAAGAAACTCCTGGAAGGATACGAAGTTTTTACTAGGATGGGAAATAAAATTAAAAGATGATTCAAATAGTGAGTTAAATCATGGTATAAATCGTGAGCTAAATCATTATTTACATTGTGAGTTGAATGATGATTTAAATCCTGAGATAAATTATGATTTAAACTGAAAGTTAAATCATATGGAGCAATATTTAAGCCACGATCTAAATCACTCTGTTTACTATGGTGATTTCATTCAAATATTTGCTACAAAACTAATCCCACAAGTACATTTTATTTGCCGTTTGTCTTTCATTTCCTGCTTTGACGGGTATTGGTTTTGTATTTAAATCGAAATATAATTAAGTGAACAAGGTTTACATCAGTCTAAGCACCAGCAAATGCAATGTGCTAGCAAATCAGAGCGCTGAGCTTTCTTTCTACTTTCCACTTCGTTCCTCAGTTGCGTAGCGCATTACTCTGCGCAACTCAAAATACAAAAAAAAAAAGAAAAAAAATATTTTAGTAACTAAAAAAAGAAAGCTTTTTCATAATAATAATAAAAAAAGGAGTTGAAATACATAACATAACGGACGAAAACACAAACCGTCTTAAATATATTTTCGTTTATTCCCAGTTTCGGTTTTCTTTGTTATGGAGCTCATATTTACCAGCTCGCCTGCGTATTTTCACTTCCTTCATAAGTTGTCTTTCTTCTAGTATGGCGGAATTCGCACCAATAGAAAGTTGTTAATTAAACTGTATACTTTAAGTATACAGTTTCTAACTGTAGGGAATTAAGTCCAATGAATCTGATTTAAATCATATAAATCTGATCTAGATCAAATCAGTCTGAGTTTTTTTTTTTGTTTATTTAAAAACAAAATCTTTATTTTTTTTGCACTTTAGGTTTTAGTGACTAAAACCTTCTAGAGACGCTACAATGGAGTAAGTCAGGCATGACAACCAAGAAACAAAAGCAAAAAAAAAAAAAAAAAAAACTGGGACGGTTAACACAAAAACTCCATTCAGAGTCTAACTAAGCAAAGGCATCCCTAAATAGGCCCACGATCCGCCATACGCACTAAACTTCTTTTTTTTTTTAAATATTGTTTGTTTGTTTGTTTGTTTGTTGTTTGTTTTTAACAGGGGCTGCGAAAGGTATGGGGTTTAGAAGTTATATTGAAATATAAAAGTTCACATAAAATATACAATTGAATGCAAAAAAGAACCAGAACAAAACCTCCCATTAACCTAGAATACGTGTATATACAGAAGAGAAATTAAAACATTTTACACTTCAGTGGTACAAGAAATACATCTGAACAGTCAACACTAGTTATCGCTTCTGTGACGAGAAAAAAAAATATTTAAAAGCTTATAATGCATAAATCTGAAATAACATTTGAAAAACTTCCGTGGGCATCTTATCTACATAATATTGTGGAATAGATTATTCCAGTCACCTAAAGTTCTTTTGAAAAACGAATACCTATATGTGTCGATGTGATATTTCTGTGTTTTAAACTGGTGTTTCTGTGTACAACTAAGCTATTTTTAGTCGCGAAGATTTAGAGTATAGCTCGAGCCGACATTGTACAAGTGATGGGAGATCATCAAAAATGTATTTAATCCATCTAATTGTCATCGAACCATGAGCAACGGGAGATGAAGTTGGGTCAAAATATTATAACGGAATTATGTCGCTTTTAGCTCGATAAAATAAATTCTGCCGCATTCGTTCAAACCATTTTCAGTTCGTCAATTTGATTTTTTTTTTCTTTTTATGAGGGTCACACACCATGGACGCGTATTCTAAAGTCGGCATAATATACATTTTGTACGCCATTAGTTTCCCTACAGGTTTAGATTTAAGATTTAACTTTATATGATAAAATTTTTTTTTTTTTCATTGAAGTATGGCCAATTTCATTGATGTGTTGGCTCCAACTTAAGTCCCTTCAAATTGTGACTCTTAAATCTTTAGAACTTCAGCCAATGAAGAGCCGTTGAAATTGGGTTGGAAGAAGAAGCAAGTAAAGTAAATTTTCAGCTGCGTTGGAAACTTTGTGTGTGTATGTGCGTGCGTGTGTGTGTGCGTGCGTGCGCGCGCGTCTGCGTGTGTGTGTGTGTGTCGTTTTCGCGCGCTGCAGCCTCGGGGTTGTGTTACGTCTAGTAATATCCACCAGCCCGTTTGCGGTCCGACTTTCTGCTCAGGACTCGGACATTTCGCTGTGCATACCTAACGTTACTGATGACCTGAGTCAGCTTTATGTGACCACATTTGTCCCGTGTCATCTTGTAGTCATGTTTTAACTGACGCGGAACGTATAACGTGTTTTATTACGTAATCATCGCTGCTTCTCAATATATAAAACTACGAGAGTGCGAATTTAGTATACAATGAAGGAACTAAAGTACCTTGAACATGTAATTGACTGCGTGCCCTCGTTGCGTTTCAGCCCTTTAAGGTCATCCTCCCGAGTGGACGAACCTTCACCTTCCACTACGACGAAAACGGCGGGCTGCTCCACGTCACGACGCCCAAGGAGACCCGGCATTCTTTCCTTGTGCTGGTATCCATCGGTTTCTACAAGGTCTACTATACGCCTCCGGGTAACTCCGGACCCTGCATAATCCACTTCAACGACCGAAGTCTGCCGATTCTCAAGATATTTCCCGGGGACAAAGGCCGCGTCCTGTACCGCTACAACGAGCAGTCTCTGCTCACCCTGGTCGTGTTCGGGGGCGGCAAGGTGGAGACCAACCACACGGCCACCGGTCTGGTCCGGTCCGAAGCCTGGAGCGAGGAAGACGTTGAGGTGCGCCACGAGTATTACTACGACGGCGCCTTGCTCACTCAGTGCGTCGCGCGATTCTACAGCAAATTCCAGTTGACAACGGCCAACTTTCACTACCGCTACAACAAATGGTTTCGGGTCAAGTCCCTGAGCGTCCGCATTGGAACGCTGCAGTTTCCAGAGATGGAGTACGCGTACTCCCCCAAGACGGGACGCCGCGAAGTGGTGGGCAATTTTAGGTTCTTTGACGTGAGCCCCAACGAGACGGCGGTGTCCGACGGGACGGCGACCTTCGTGCAGCAGACCGACCTGCAGCATAGGGTTCACCAGCGCTCGCTGTTGATCGGCGACAAGGAAATGTATCGCATGGACGTCCAGTACGGAAACCGAGACGGCGTCATTCAGACCAAAACACTGATGCGCCTGACCGGCGGTGTTCAGCTCCGGACGCAGAACTTCTCTTACGACGAAGACGGGCAGCTGACCGAGATGATGGGCAAGGATCACTGGAAGTTTAGCTACGACGCGAACGGGAACATCGTGACGATGCAGTACATGGGAAACAAGATCGAGATTCTGCACGACGTGGGGGACCGCATTCTTCGATTCGGAGAAACGCCTTTCGTGGTGGACGGACGAGGGTTCGTCGTGCAGAGGGGTGAGGAGCGCTTCCTCTACAACACCAAGGGGCAGCTGACGAAGGCCTACAGAACGCGACGAGGCAAATACGAAGTGCGGTATTTCTACGACGCCCGGAGCAGGCTCGCCATGCGAAAAGACCACTTCGGCAACATGACGCAGTTCTTCTACGCCGACCCGGCCAATCCGCGTCTCGTGACGCACGTCTACAACAACGCCGACGGGAGGAGCATGAGTCTGGTGTACGACACGAACGACTTCCTCATCCACGTGCTCGTCAACAAAGACAGTTACTACGTGGCCACGGACCACAACGGGAGCCCTACCCTAGTGTTCGACAAGTACGGCGAGGTCGTCAAGGAAGTGTACCGCGGCCCGTACGGGCACATCATCTACGACTCGACGCCGCTCTTCTACGTGCCGGTCGACTTCCAGGGAGGCATCTTCGACCCGCTCACGGGGCTGATCCACTTCGGAGAACGGATATACGACTCGCTGATGGGCAAGTGGATGACGCCGCAGTGGGAGGAGGTGCTGCAGCAAGCTTCCAACGTGCGAAAGCTTCACCTGTACCAGTTCAACCAGAACGACCCCGTAAACCTGAAAAGGGACCGTCGCAGTAAGATGGGTAAGTGATCTCCGAAGATCTTGTAGGAATGCTCTTACAACGGGGGTGCCATGTGGGCCTTCAAGTACCGACTCTGATCGAAGAAATAAAGCCCGGTCTTTCGACCCTCATGTAGAAAACTACGCAATGTAGAAAACTGGAGTTCCGTGAAATTGTGACGCTAGCAGTGAAGATAAAATGCGAAATTTTGAGACCTTGATGCTTACTGGAGCAAAATGACAAGAGAAAAACGATATGTCTTTACATGCCAACATTTGTATAAGCCTAATTAAGGTATATCATACAGATAAAAATAATTTTTTGGCTGATGTAACACCCTATGTCAGAAAAAAAGTTTATCAGCGAGAAAGATGGTATTATTGTATTTCTTGATGACAAGACTTTTTCCCTGGAATAAATTTTGCAGGCGCCCAAAACGTAATTTTGTCTTCATAAATATTATAATTAGGTGGACGTCGGTTCACAGAGATTTAATTTTTCGCTTGTATTTTTGTATCCACGTAACGTAAAGTTCTCAAACGTTGGCATTCTATCACCACCGCCAGCGTCACATTTTCACCGAATTTTATTTATTATATTCTTTTTCGATACGTAGTTGTTTATGCGGGCGGGATAAGTGGGCTTCATTTATAATCGTACCCGGTAGTTCAGCAGCGCCTATCTTGTCGTATATGAATCCTATCCAGAACATTTTAGCGAGAAAACGGTGTCAGGAGTTGTTTCTAGACTACAAAACAATGGCAATGCCAGTAAACAAACATTTCGGTTTTCAATATAACACTCGCGTGGGTAAAAAACAACGGAAGGCTCCTTTTGTCACGGAGCGATTTTTCGAAAGTTAAATAAAAAAATGAAAAATAAAAAAATAAAAAATGACCTTGAATATAAACCTTATCACTCATAAAATAGTCGCGAGTGTGTCTCATTTTATTACAAACTTTCGGACTTCATGTCTGAAATGAATAAATCAACTTATATTTCTTATAGTTTCTGTATCTGGTGTATGGAAACCATATCGTATTAAATTTTGGCTAAAGTCGGAAAGGTCTTTACGTTATAGTGCCTTGAAATAAAGTACAAATCATCCCGGAACAATATCGATTTTAGCTATTTTATTTGTTTCCGAACGCTTGTTCCGGTGCACCCACGTATTGAAAAATTCAGTTTTCCATTAAATACGTTCACCACTTTTCCAGAATGACAACTAAAACTACAACTCGTTAAAAATATATATAGACATATTTACTGTACACCTAATTGAATCAGGAAAAAAAAACTATATCGTTGCAAATGCAGCAACGCATGTTTTGGCATTTGCACAACTCAGCGAAGCTCTGCCATGTCCGGTCGTGATCCTAAAGAGACAAAATAAATCGGAAAAACTACTTTATAAATGCAGCCCATTGACGAGAAAAAAACTCTTTCAACATAAGATCTAAGCGGTAAACGATATGTTTATCTCGTTTAAGGATATTGTCTTTGATTTAGCAGTTGGAAAGATAGGAAAACGGCAAAATGTAGATTCTACCAATATACACCGAGAAGCACAATGGACCGCTTCCCAGATGAGGGGCAGCAGGGGAAAGTTTCCCCGGATCATGCACCGAGTTGCAGCGTGGGGCAAGCTCGCTCCAGCCTGGCTATTCGGCCTGGCAGTTCTGTAGGGTTTTCTTGTCTAGCCAATCTTGGCTCTACGGCACAATTGACCATTCAAACATGTTACGGCAAAATGAATCGATGGGATTTAGAGGACCTTTTCTTAAAAATACCTTGTTAACTATTTCTCAGACAGATCGCAGTCAGTCAAGAAAATACTGTGGTGAGTAAGCAAATAAACATTAACTTCGGAATACCACTGGGATCGGCATTGGACCCTGTATGTTATTCAACATGCAATAATCATCGAGTCTAAATAAATGAAATATCAATGATCTGGGAAAGGTAAAACTGAATTCTTCTTTTTTCAACATGCGGATGTCTCCGCACTTATTCTCCCACATGAGGATTGTGAGAGAGCTGTTCCATTGTTTTAGAATGATATATCTACGATAATAAACTGTTTTTCAAGTAATCAAATCGTCTTTAACTTCGATAAAACTAAACTAATGCGTATCAGAAATCCACATGTGCAAGCGTAGACTTTTAGGTAAATTACTGTTTTTATATCAGGATCGAGGTGAGCACATCTATGTAGAGACGAATTATGAAGCTAATGATAAGTATTTAGGATTATTTTTTGACGAGTGCATGGAGTGGAGAAAACACGTGGAGCATGTTAAAAAGCGATTGGGAGTCACTTCAACGTATATATATATATATACCGACTTCGAAGTGGCGCGGATTTAAAATTTCGCCAAAAGGTTTACTTGGTATTGGGCGAATCTGTTCTTCGATATGGCCTCAGAGTATGTGGATCGTGTTCAGCTGGCAAAACTTAGGGTTTCAACAAAATCATTTTCAGAATACTTAACAATATTGCATACGGAACAAAATATGTGAAGTTATCACCCCTTCAAAAACACGTATGTCTGAACATAATGCCGCTCGAAAAGCTGTTCCACTATGTTATATAACCAAACCTTATTATTCGAATAGCGATTTCAAGAAACTCCTAAAAACAAAACCTCTAATACACTGTGATAGATATGCACTACCACGAATACACACAAATTACGGGAGGCGTACACGAAATTACTATAAACCTTATCACCTTAATAAACTTCCGCGTGATTTAACCTGTCTTACGTCGCAAAAGGAGGTAAAAAATGAGTAAAAAAGTGGTGCTTTCAAAACGATAATCAATAAACGTGAGACACCGGTTTTTCGGAAGAGCAGTGTAGTCTGGAAGTTGACATAAGATCTACAGACTTTCATGTATTGTATTGTATACACGTACATATATTTTTGTAACATTGATAAAAGTGTACAGATTAGCTCGTATGTTTTTCCGTGGTGACATAATTTGCTCAGTGATTGAGATTATTTTTTATTTTGGCCTTTTGTTTTGTTGTTGTTTCTATTATGTGTTTTAACGCAAGATGTGGTAAAAAAAAAAAAAGTAAAAAACAGGAGCACGAAGCTGACTGACGGCTCCGTCCCACAAGCCCCGCGGTTTTGACGGGCCCGATTGAATGTATAGTTTTAAAATGGACTAATAAGGATATTATTTATTAGATGCAGCCGGGGCCAAAGTGGCAGTTCAGTACTCAGCCAAGATTGGCTAAACGAAGTAAATACGGTGGACCAGGTGGGGAATTTACTGGTCACTCAATCTTGGTAATTCGGGGACTTCACAAACTACCCCAAGGTTAGCTTACACTGTCATTCAAAGGAAGTTTTTGTGTCATCTACCCTAACAGCATCCTCAATTTTTGCTACGGAGCTCAGAAACACTGGATGCCACTTTGAGCCAGATCTGATGCCTCACGAATAAAAAACGGCTGGTCAGTAATTTTGTTAGAATACATGCACAGTAGATTGATGGTTGACAACATGTGCGAGTTACTGTATTTCTCCTGTGGTAGGCGTGCGGATGGAGCTGCAGAATGGAATCAAGGTCTGAAACAGGGTTCTTTATGTTCAGGACATGGTGCTGGCTTACTAGTTATAAGGCTGGTTTAGTCGAACCGTCTTGTGCCGTCGTGTGTACCACGGGGGTATTGCAGGGGCTTTCCCATTCCACTTAGCCCACGTGGGACCCACGTGGGCCCCACATCATGTGCTACCAGGGTGGGGCAAAAAATAAGAAGGAACGCCAAGGAAAAACTTTGTTCGTTGGAGGAGCTCCCGGGGCTAGGAAATACAGAGAAACGCCAGGCTGGCAGGTGACCAAATTCACTGGTTGGCCCCGTTCTAGCCTAGTACGGTGAAGGCCTAATCCTGCACCTAGCTAGCCCAAGCAAGCGTGCTGTCTGTGACATATTTTTTAAGGGTGTTTGTTTCAGGGATTGTTAGACGTTTTTATATGGATTCATTTACTTCTTAGACTGGATATCTCAGACTAGATACCCCAGACGAAGTGTCTGTATCGGATATTTTTGCGATGATTTTCAAACATCCTTAAAAATAGGATGCTTGAGAAAAAAGCCACTTTTCCCGGGAACTAACTGCCAGCCACTCCGAACGTAAGGGTTGCTAAGAATGTACTAATTAGAATAACAACGAAGTCATGTTTATTAATGAAGTTGTTCATTTCTTAAGATAACTTAAGGATAAGCGTCATCGAAAACCATGAGTTCATTCAAGACGAATTGAACCAGGTGGGAAGCCCAGGGCTACGCTAAAGTTACCGGTCGTGCAGCAGGCACAAGGCCGGGACCCGAAAGCGCGAATGATGAGCATTAGCATTCGCATTTCCGCATCGCTGGCTTTGCACCTGCTGGCCGGCGATCTTGCTGGCCTAAAACATGCGAATAACTGACTCCCGTGCAGATCTCAACGACTGGATCCAAAAGCAAGGGATCGACATCAGCAGCCTGGGCTTGGGACGGCCTCCGATCCTGAGGGGTGCCCCGGCACTCCTGTTCCCTGGTAGCCGGACGTATAACCTGCCGCTGCCCTCCGTCCCGCTGGTGTCTGGCTACGGGTGCGCCGTGCGGAGAAGGCTCGAGAGTTTCGCCCAGCTCTCGAGCGTCGAGAAGTCTAAGGTTAAGCGGGAACAATCGGCGGACAACGCGGTGCCCAACTTGAGCACCCTGAACGTCCCTTTCGGCCGCGGCATCACGGTCTCCCGGACGGCTGGACGCGCCGTGATACGCACGGTCGACAAGGCGGACCCGATCCAGAGGGATGTCTACACGTCCGTGTTCAACAACTCGCTGCTGCTAGACCTCCACCTGGTGATGCACGGCCAGGACGTGTTCTACTTCGTCAAGGACAGCACGTGGAGGTTCCACGAGGACATCACGCAGCTGCAACGATTGGGCACGGCCATCAACACGACCGTGCACCAGAGCAAGACGGACGAGGGAGCCCAGGTGTCGGACGTGAGGATCCACACGGCGCACGCCATCCTCAACATCCGCTACGGCACGGTGCCACACCGCGAGCGCCTGCGGCTGTTGTGGCACGCCAAGAAACACGCGGTGAGCCAGCGCTGGGCGCAGGAGCGGCAAGTCCTGCTCACCGACCAGCACGGCGGTGCCCTCGGCTGGACCGACAAGGACAAGGAGCACATCCTGCGCACAGGCTCGGTGCCCGGATACCGCGGGGACTACTACCACGACGTCGACTCCTTCCCCGAACTGGCGGACGACCCGTCGAACATTGTGTTTCGGAAAGTTACGAGGAAGAGGTGATCTACTGCAGAGTGAGCACAGTATGCTCCACAGCCCGTGGTACCGTTAATACGAGTGGTCGTGGTACGTCGTCGTGTGACCTTGGCGTGGAGTCTGGTGAAGTGTGGTTGTGACACTACGAGACGTTCATGGGCGAGACCATGTGTTGTTACCCCATTCTAACTCGGAATGACTCACATAGACACATTAGTGTCAGACGTGGGCGGATTGTTCGATACACTTCCGCGCTCTTACAACGATGATTCGAGTCCTGGTCTCTGATTTCGTGGGACTACGAGTTTCGCAGCTGCGCGCCAGCAAGCCTCTTCAAACGTGCGAAACTGGGTCGGTGTTTCTCTCCATTTATGCCGACACTCGGGCTAGAGCTTACAGTTGTCCAGTCCACCTATCTATAAATTTGTATGCAGCTGCAGTGAATCAGGTGCCGGAGTTGGGCTACTCGTGATACTGTGCCTGGTCTAATATGAAGCCATCAGTTTGTTTACAGTTGCAATCATCAGTGGCGTCGTGACAATTGTTTGCATATAAATATATATAAATATACATATACATAATGCTAAAAAGATGTGTTTAGGAGAGTTGCGTAGTGATTTATCACGTTTGATCAGTCGACGTTTAGTCATCAGCAGGCCTCCCTGAACCATGTCGAAACGTAGAGTCACGTTCAAGCCTGAATCGACTGACCAAATGCAATAAAGCTCTACGCAACCCTTCAAAGCGCGTCTTTTCTCCTTTATACTTTTCGTCATCCTGCGATTTCTTTCTCTTTTTAATTGTAAATATATATATTTATATATATATATATATAAGCATCTCGCTGATGTGAAACTTGGGAAACCACAAAGTTTTCTTAATCCCGAGGTGCAAACATACAAACCGTGGGCAGCATGTGCGCCGTTTCCCCCTTCCTTCATCACGCAGTCAAAGTTGCTGGCGCGAGCCTGGGTCTTTAGCTAAGACATGATTTTCACGCGGTGTATAAATGACACATAAAGCCACGCGCTTGCGGGAGTAGCTTTAACGGCGCTGTACACGGTATGAAATGGGGTATAAATAATAGAATATTGAGCGTCTCATCACAGATCTTGGGAAGAGAAAACAGCGGAGCAGAACCGCATTTCCAAATACCTCGAATTTCTTAGTAGTACTTTAAACCGTCTTAACGCCCTCACAAAAGCTTTATTTGGAGAGGTCGCATTACTTCCGACGGGATGAAGGCTATTATACATGGCAGAACACGCAACACCTCATTAGACGCCAACTATTTTCACTAATTTCAAAACCTTTCACGATTTCTTAAAAACTAAACGAAATAATTGTAAGACCACGTCAGTCACAAGAGTCTAGATGATCTCCGTTGAATTTGTCTATGATCTATTCTGTGATTATTATTATTCTTTTTGTAGGGTCAAGAGCTTTTGATCCGCAAGTACTTCTACAGTTCGATTTACACTGAAACACTTGTTCTGAGGAATTTACGTAACCTGGCAAATGTAATTTTTAAACTCTAGGTTATCATACTCGTTCCTGAGAGCTCTATTTAGGATCAGGTATATCTGAGAGTTGATGTTCTCATTCACGTCTTAGAACAAGGGTGGTCTGAAATATTCTATGATGAATTTGACATTCGAATGTGATGTGCAGACAAGATCTGTCCGGGCTTATTTTGAGTTATACACCCGTGCGTCAATAGATAGACGTGCATAATGAGTTTTTTTTTTTTTTAGCTTTGACGAAGATATTAGCGATAACAAATTGCATAATATTAGGTTGTAATCATAGGGATGTATAACAGGCGAGCACATTGCTTTTAGAATGAGAAAAAAACAGACACACAGAGCAACACTGAAGATATTTTCTGTTACAGTTTAAATTGTAAGAACTTAGAAAACGTTGATAGCATTGAAAATAATGTTTAGCTTTTATTTATGAAAGTGCACGGGAAACCTGTTGGATGTTGCGTTCACGTAATGCTCGATTCTTGCAAAGTTTCTTTCCTACTGTTGACTGTGCTCGTTTGTGAGAAATGAAAGACTTGGCTAGTGAAACCTCACGACCTTCACTGTTGTGCCTGCTTCGTGTCAAAGTTGAGAACACTGTTAACATGAGTGAGGTGTGACAGCGCGTTGAACACACCTGTGCCCAGGAGAGCTGGAGATATTATGTAAAGCTTTCCGCGGTTCTACAAGGCCAAAGTGAGTGAATTATATGCCCGGCTACTGATGTATCCAAGTGACTGTGTACGTGCGTGTGTGTGTGCACGCGCATATATCTGTATGCAGACTGGGAATAGACGATATGAACACCTTTTCCACCTTGCCTGTCGTTTTCTTTTCCTCGCATTACTTTTTTTTTTTTAATGTTTATTGCGCAGAAACCAGTGTTGCGGAGTTGCCACTTTGGAATTGAAATGATTCCGGAATCATTCCGCACTTTCGCGACCCCGGAATGGAGTGGGAATGGAATTAGAAGTATTTTTCTCGGAGTGGAGTGGGTATGGAATTGGGCTCGATTCTTATGCAAGCTGTGTTCATTTTCATATAGGGCCAACGGGCTATAGTGGTGCATTTCGTTAGGGCATGGGAAGTGGCTCTTGAAACAGCATCATTGCGCTGAAGGCGTCTGATGGCTCGATTGTCTCACTGGTGTATGCTCCGTCGAGGATGAAAATGGCCCGCCCTCAGTGAAGCAACCAAAACAGTGTCGAACCGAACCGGAAACCGGAGCAAAGCCGTTATTTTTAACTGAACCGGAACAAGACTGTAACCGAAATCAAACATTTCATATTGAACCCGAACCGGCACGGAACCGCGATATAATGGGATGGTTACCGATTCATTGGGAACGGTTCGGCATAATGAAGTGTGAGCCGCGCCTTCTTCCGGGGCGGCGCGAAGTAAATTAAATATTCGCGACGGCTGCGTCAGCGGCTCAGTTTTGACTAAACAAACGGCAGTAGCCGTTTGTCTAGTCAAAAGGCTAAGCATGGAGACAGCTGAATAATAATGCACCAAGTAAGTATATTTCACGTCTATGTACAACACGAATTGGCGCTGGCAAGTCGGTATGAAGGCGTACACTTGTATACTTGGTTTCACCTTAGGATGAACCGCAAAGGACGCTACCAGCTACCGGAGCCGATTCTTAGCTCGGAGCTCGGAGGCTTCCGGTTGGACGGAGCGACGCGGAGAGCGCAAAGTTACGGGACAAGCTACGAACTACAGATTGGCTCGTGTAGCTCGTAGCGTCCATCGCGGTACATTGTAATGTGATCCCGAGAGCACGGTGGCCTAGAGGCCAAAAAAGTATTCTTTGTGTATGTGCGCGCGCTCACGTGCGTGCGTGTGCGTGTGTAACTGTCTGTGCTCCATTTGTTTTTCTGCTAAGCAATATTCTTCAAGGAAGGAAAAAGCAGACATAAACGTGAAAATAAAAACAAAGCTGACGGCTGTCGCGCGTCTGTTCCCCGGTGGCGAAATCTACAGCCAGCCGGCAACGGCCAGGCAGCGCCAGCAGGGTGAGAGCGCACGGTTATACCCTGCCTCGTCGTAACTTGACAAAGGGTAACCGATAAGCCCCACATAGCGTGCCGAAGGCTTCGAAATGCGCGACGTATAGACCTTTGCAGAAATCGCCTCCTGCGCGCTGCCATCTTTGTCAGCTGGGCTGTGGAACGCCTTCCAAGCATGCGTTGTTGATCTGCTGTGCGGTATATCGGACGCTGCGCATGCGTCCACAGCTCAGTGACTCAGCATTTTTTTCCCGCTCGCTTCGTTCGAGGCTGCCGCTGGAAAGGTCTATACGAGCGCAACGAACAAGTATTGGAGCATGACACAGCGAAAAGCCTGATACTTCTCCGGAGTTGAGGCGCGCTCCGGTGATAGGCACTCGGGTTCCGATTGGCCCGGAAGGGCCGTAGCTTCCGCTCCACTGGCACGTTACGCGATCACGGCTTCCTGGGATACCCTGTGTTTTTTGCTTCAGACACTTCAGAGAGACACTTGGCTCAGCGGCGCCACCAGAGTAAAAGCTCACGCAGCTCACGTTTGAGCAATGCAGCCGCCACTCCCAGGGGTACTCAATATTTCTTGTTTCAGTTGCTAAATGGCGCCAAACCAAACAGCATTGCAGGGGCCCTAAACTCGTCAAATACAAAGTTGTAGCCGGAAGTTCGCAGAGCGCGCCGATTGGATGTCGACGAGAAAAACGCGAAGTCATTGTCGTGATTGTCCAATCGGCGCGCTCCGTCAACTTCGCCTCCAACTTTGTATTTGACGAGTTTAGGGCCCCAGGTTGTCCGGTTGTCTGAGCGTGACAGGGTGCTTCCGTTGTTAGAAAGGTGAGTCTGACACCGTATTTTGCTTGCGTTTGGCTATAGTTGGACGCACGGGCTAAAGCATCGGCAGTTGCATGTGCGCGCGTGCGGTGGTGCAGCGAGAGCGCCAGTCTAGTCACTCCAGTTACGAGAGCATCATTACAACATAAACAGAGTACCTCCGATAGGACATTAGGTTGTATCAATTGTATACCTCATTTGCATCGCTGTCAATGCTGGTGGCGCGAGCGCGTGACTGTCGCGCCAGCAGCTTTGACAGCGTTGTACCTGGCGCCACGTATGAAGTAAGGCCTGTTCACACATGCAGCGGAGCGCTACAAGCATAGCGCTTACCTCGCGCTAAGCGCGTGCTGACGGGAGCGTTCACCAGCTTTGTATCGCACCGTCAAAACTGTTGCTCATGGCAGACCGGCCTGTAGGGTACAGGTAGCCTGCATGCGCGCTTTGCTTAGGGCGAGGCAGTGGCGTCACGAGGGCACGAGGGTCAGCGGCTACCGGGGCAATAGCCAACACCACCTAGATCTAAAGACGCAGCGCTTCCCTCTCTCCCTTCAAGGAGCGTCGGCGTGAGTAGGCTGAACTGGTAGTGCGCTTCTCCGCAAGGCTCCCCTTGACAGTTGGCTTCTTTGCAATGCACGTTCTCTTTTACTTTCTCTTTCCCTCTACGCTTGCACGCTTGACGCGGCGCAAACAAAAAAGGCGCCACAGCGTCGCGTTTTTTTTTTTTTTTTCTTTTTCTCCCTAACGGCCGTCCGTCGCGTTCCTTTCTTCGACGGCTTTCTTAGCTACTCCTGCGAGTTGGGTCACGTGACAATAATGCTGGAGGAATCAACTAGAACAACTCTAGAAGCGAGTAGGTTTTTAGACGCCGAGGGTCGGAAGTTCAACTCTCGACTAAGATCGAGCACATTTTGGAATACAACACAACTGCGGCCTGTTGTGTGAAGGCAGGGGTTGCAGCTTGTCCGACGTATCGCAAGCAGACTTGGCGGTGCTGGGGAAAAATCGGCCAAGACTCTGGTGACCGCAGTCCTGATGGCTAAGGTCACGTACGCAGCCCGTTTCTACAAACTCAGGAGCGAACACTTCAACAAGTTTGACACCCTATACAACGAGGCACGAAGAGCCATTCTTGGCCTACCGAGAACGACTAGGCTTAACGAACTTAGGAAATGTGTTTTTCTACCGAGCCTGCAAGACTCTCTCAAGCAGCAAAGGGAAATGCAAGTCGCAAGACTGGAGCATACGGTAGAAGGCAGAGCAATAGCCAAATACCTCGGCGTTCAAATCCAAGCTAAGAACCCCATGCCACGAGCCAAACCGCCTTGGGAGCTAATAGACATTGCCCAAAAGCCGCTACCCAGGAACATGAACGCAGAGAAACATCAAAAACGTAGAGAGCACCATGCCCGACTCCACCTTGCAGAAGTGTTACAATTGAACCACGAAGACAACCAAGTTGTCTATGTGGACGCAGCTACCAATGCAACGGCAGCATCCGCGGCGGTGGTATTTGTTCGCGAAGCACAAGACGCCCCACTTACGGTTCGTAAGGTCTACACGAAACTCACATCGCCACAAGCCACTGAAGAAGCAGCGATACTCCTGGCCCTGCAAACATATGAGAACCTAGCTACCAGCAACAGCCAGACTCGCAACCACCTGACCATCTACACTGACTCGCAAGAGGCAATCAGAAGCCTCGTCAAACACCACATTACGACGACGAGCCCCACAATCGCGGCTATATTCCAATCGGCATTACGGATACACCGGGAACACGGCACGAAAACCAGTGTACGGTGGGTACCCGGACACGCTGGAATACAGGGCAACGAGGCAGCCCATCGAGCTGCCAGGGAGGTACTACAGACAGCAGCACTCCCAGATGGCCACGCTAAGACGGCAAGGAACCTGATACCAGGGACGGAGCCCATCGAGGAAGCATAAGATCCCAAGGAAGAAATACGCAAGATTCGCGCCCAGGTTCGGAGACAGATTCTGAACACCTGGACGGCGGAACCGTACCCGATCCCTGAAAAGATATTCAAACGGCACCAGACCGTTCTACTCAGAAGAGTGCGTACCGGAGGAGCAATCACACCCCACCAGACGTACATCTTCGAGCTGAACCGCAAGAGAAAGACGGACCCATACTTTGTTCCGACAGACCCGCGCTGCCACAGACGTAAACACCCCGACAAGCTCCCGAAACTTCAGCACTTGCTTTGGGAATGCGAAGCTCTCCGAGAGACTCGCCAAACAGTCTGGGCCACACTCCCTCCAGATGAAGTGCCCAGCAGCGTACGGGAATGGACCCACCCCATCAGCGACGCAGAACGCCGCACAAGAATTCTGGGCTCTCTGTTGGAATTCATCACCAGTGGAGGACTAAGCAACTCACTTTAGAGTCACCACAGCCTTGAACCCCTCCTCCCCCCCCCCCCCCTTCATACTCTCACTTCGACACTCATACATACTCCATCCAAGAAAGATGCCCCACCGAAGCAGTGACCGCATCACGACGCTTTCTTAATCGAAGCAGTCCTTTTCTTGTTCTCAATAAACGTTGTCTGAATCTGAATCTGTTGTGTGAACGTCATGGTGAACGTGAACGTTGCTTTTCGATTGTGGTAGCTGTCATTCCGTACAGATGTTGTTTATCCGCGCGTTATGACGAAAAGCCGGATGTAAAAGTGTCCATATTTGAGTTTCTGCGAGGGTGACTACGAAAGCGTGGACTACACAGCGAATCGATGGGAAGATCTCGCTCCTTGACGGCATGGCAGGGTGAGAACTTCTTGACTTTTATGATCGTGGTTTCGTTTCTTGTTTTTACTTATCGCTGCATGCATGCTTGGGAGTGATTTGGTTGCGGCCTGCCTGGAAGCAACATATTCAAATGCTGGCGCTACTTGTAGGTACAGAACTAAATAGAAATGACTTGATTTATGAGTTCAGGTTGGAATGTTTT